TCGTTTGTGATAGCCTGCTCGTTTGTGAAAAAGAGCTACATCGCAGCTCATTGGGGCCTTAACTGGCAAAATATAAATCGTTTTTGAGGGTGCGTTTCTTCCTTTGGCCTCCCTCGAGAGCAGGGGTGGGGAACTTTTTTTCTGACAAGGGCCATTTGGATATTATAACATCATTCGCGAGCCATACTAAATTATCAACGTAAAAATTAGCCCGTTATATTTGGTCAAACATTTAATTAACTCGCCCCTTAAGTGATGGCTGGAACTGCTTCTCTTTGGCGAGGCGTGTGATGTTAGCTGGTGTTGATGATGTTGCTGCTACTCGCAACTGCTTTTCCAGGTTTGCTCCGAGATTTATTGAATTTCGAGTCCCGCCTGCAGTTGCCTTGGCAGGGCCACACCAAATGATTTCGTGGGCCTTATACGGCCCACGGGCCGGACGTTCCCCACCCCTGGTCTAGAGCTTCCCATGGTGATGGCCCTTCAACCGGCAGTGGACCGGGCATGAAACTGCAGGGCTGCATCTTGTACACAAGTAACAGGCCGAAACAGCTGTAAGTAAACTTACTAAATGGGATGTTACCGTTTACAATTGCGTCGCATTGGAGAGGGTGCAACGACAGTGGACGGGCGTTGGCTAAATTAAAAACGGGGCGGACAAGTCATCGAAAACCGCAAAATGAATGAAGGAAAGGATTTAGGACAGAGAATTCAGAAGCCAAACGAACCTTAGGAACACGGGAATTGTGGGCGTCGGCAAGAAATAACGCCAACGTGAGCGGGGCCCCGGATGGCGAGGGCGCGAGCGAAGAGCGCGGGCGTTCGCGGGCGGAAAACCACGCGGTCGAGAAAAGCACGCGGTCGAGAAAACCACGCGGTCGAGAAAACCACGCGGTCGAGAAAACCACGCGGTCGAGAAAACCACGCGGTCGAGAAAACCACGCGGTCGAGAAAAGCACGCGGTCGAGAAAAGCACGCGGTCGAGAAAAGCACGCGGTCGAGAAAACCACGCGGTCGAGAAAACCACGCGGTCGAGAAAACCACGCGGTCGAGAAAACCACGCGGTCGAGAAAACCACGCGGTCGAGAAAACCACGCGGTCGAGAAAACCACGCGGTCGAGAAAACCACGCGGTCGAGAAAACCACGCGGTCGAGAAAACCACGCAGTCGAGAAAAGTCGAAAGCACGCACAAGGGTAGAGAAGACAACCGAAACAACCAAAGAGAAACGAAGGCGAGAGGCGATTGTAAATTCCAGGTTTATTGTCTACATTGGGAGGGGGAGAGGGAGGGTGTGTGTGGGGAGATGACCCTAAGAGGCAGCTAAATGCTGTGGTTTCTGAAACGGGTAAGGTCGCAGACACCACTTCTGATTTGAACAATACAGACGCAACCTGGCAAAAAAAAGACGCTCCCCCAAGCCATTTAATTACAATTCAGGATGGTGAAAGGGGTGAGTGAGAGAAAGAGAGGAAAGGGAATAAGAAATAGTTCAGGGCAGAAGAAGAAAGTAAGAAAGTGCTAGAAGGGAAAGGCAGAGCGAAGGAGAGGCGGCTAAAGGTGGGGAGAAAGATAGTTGGGAAGCAAAGTGATAGAGAAAAAGTGAGGAAAGGAGTTGTAGCGATAGATAGGTGGGGAAAGGAGTTGAAAAGAGAGAAGGTGAAGCAAAAGGACAGGATGAGAGAGATAGAGTTCAGGTAAGTAGAAGAAAGGACAGGAAAAGCGAGAAGCAAGTGAGAAAAATGAAGTCTAGGAAATCGGAGGAGGAAAAAAAAGATGAAAGGAAGGCGAAAAGGTAAAAGCAAAGTTTCTAAGCGCAGGCAGCTCATGAAGAAAACGGCAAGAGGCGACAGAAGAGAATTAGAGGTAAGAACAGGAGAGAATTAGAGGTAAGAAGAGCATTAGATATGAAAAGAGTGAATTACAGGAGTGGATGTACAAATAAATAAGCGGCAGTGGCGAAATCACCGCGAGAGCTCTCGGCTTGGCGCGCAGCGCTGCGCGTGCCTGCAACAAATCATCATCTCTCATCTCTCGGTGGAGCACAACGTCGCGTGTGCGCGCGCGAGTGGTGTAAAGGAGCACACCGATGCGCAGATTGACACGCATGGGGGTATTATCGGTCTTTCTCTTCCGAGACGGCTTGCTAACAACAAAAAAACCAACCCAACAACACCATCGTCGGCCCAACCGGACAGAGATCAGGTTTATTACACATTGACACCGCAGCCACAGCAGCTACGCTCGACGAAGGCTCTCCCTACAAGTTGACCACTGTGAAGGAGGCAAGGTGGGGGCAGCAGCAGCAGGAGAAGAAGAAGTGGTGGCGACTCGGGGGGGAGGGGACGTGGAAAGAAGGGGCCCCGGAGCCATGGCAGGAGTGAAGAGGAATCAACCTCGCGGCCGACTGCAGCGCGCGCCGTCGACGACGCGGGCCAATTCCGGTCGTGGGAAATTTAGCTGCGGCGTACGGGAGACACGGACGGACGGGCGGGCGCGTGGGTCAGCCGATGATTAGGCACCCGGCGGAATATACGGCAGCCACAGAGAGGCCAAACGCGTGCAGAGGCAGAGAGAGGTGTTAGCCCGAGTAGGTTTACGAAAACTCAAACACACAAGGCGTGCGCATGCCACTGGAGTGGATTAGTTGAGTGCATGTCAGCAAACTTACGGGTTTAATTTATACTTTTTATTCCAGTGAGTTAACCAATACACTTGTTGTAGTTCTCCGACGCTAAAGGTGATACTGATAATAAATGTTAGGCTAATTAAAAGCAAATGTCTTTTCACTGTGTGTTGAAGAGACAAGCAGGGCATTACCAATGTATATGGTAAGTAAAGCAGTATGCAAGTTGCAAACAGTATATTATTATAAAAGTATAAAAATCATTACAATAATAATTTACAGCCATTTGTCAGTCCACTGCTGGATTAAAGGCTTCTTCCAATGACGCGTGTCAGTCACGGGGGATGTTTGACCATACTTCACCACACTGGCCAGCGTGGATTTGATGAAGCCGGCGACCCAGGACCGGTTCAGATTCCACTCACCACTGACGTTTAGCAGTGGCTGGAAATCGAACTCAGAACGCTGGTGTCGTGAACTAAACCAGCGGGGGGGGACCAGTAACAAGTCTGGGTCCCTGCAATGCGTATGATTTGTCCAACAGCAGGGCTGTTACAGAGGAAGTTGCAGGCAGCAGAGAACACTGGGGAGAGGTGGGGGGGCATGCAAGACGGCAACGCAGAGAGGCAGAGAGCAAAGGAGAGAAATCTAATTTACATGGAGGTCATGTCGTTGAGGGTGTGGTCCAGCTCCTCGCTGACCGCCTTGTACTTCAGTTTCTGGTTGTACAGCTCGTCTGTACGGGACAGCCGCCGCCGCAGACGGGTCAGGAGAAGACGGAAAGAAAGGCCAAGGTCGGGGGGGGGGGGCGGGGGGGTGCAGCGTGGGGAAAAGGAAAGTGCGTGCAGCGGAGCACGGGAAAGACCAGCGTAGGGAGCGTACGCCAAGGACGAAAAAAATAATAATCTTAAATGGGGCTGTGCTATGTCGAAGAAGGGCTGCTGCCCGAAACGTCCACTATTGTACACAGAATCGGAATACGTCTTTGGTTCTTTCGGTAAAGTCACGTAGGTGAAAACTAAATAAAAAAATAAAATAAGTAAAATAAAAATGAGCAAGGGTGTAAACCCTTGTCAAAGCAACAGTGTTTTTCGCTGTGGTTGTCCCCACCTGATGACGGACGCTTGTGTTGTGCCCGAAACGTCGTGATTTAATTGAGTTGTTTTAATTTTTAATTTTATTTTATTAATTTTATTATTATTTTCATTTTCACCCACGTGACTTTACCGAAAGAACCAAAGAGTATGGATCCTTGCAGTCACGAAAACTTCAAATCTAAAAGAATCAGAATATTTATTTATTCTGGAGGAATCCGATGAGCTATGAAGCTCTATTTCGCAAATGCGCAGTAGGGGCACGGAGTCGGCACGTTACAACAACGACAAACAAAACAAAAACACGATAGGAATGCCAAGTACAAGAAAAGTAAACAAATAACCCAAACGCAAACAAGTAAAACTAAACCATCACCATCCTACCACGCAAAGCCCACGGAGATTTTAAATTACTTTTCCAAAGCGACCTGGCCACAAATGATACCGCAACAAAGTGGCCCATCGTGTTGGACATTTATAGCACCAAAATAATCGAAATAATCTCCATGCGGCAGTTATTGGTCTGTTCATAACGTTCGAGTATTACGTGTGTTCCTCTGACATGTTACTGAACAAAAACCATGAATGATAGAATTACTAGGCACTGAATAAGCTAGCACAGTGGCTCTTAACCTGGGGCTACACGCACCCTCTGAGAGCGCGAGATGCCCTTTCTGGGGGTGCCAGACACGGCCAGATGTTTTTCGAAGGTAAATCAGCGAAAACACAAAGTAAGCACGCGCACGTAACATCAACTTACTGCGAAGAAGGAAATACCTGCATTTCCCATAAATATGCTAAATTCCTCTTGATATGCACATTATTTTTGTCAAGGCACCCTTCCCCCCTTCCAACCCAGCTTAAATATACGCTCCAAGCGTGGTGGTGTTTCATTCAGATGCTGTCTCCCCGACAGACCTGGTCTTCACCTGAGGATGGCTGCTTGCGTTGTGGCCGAAACAGTCGTGAGAATTATTTTATTAGGTTTTATTTTTATTATTATTTTATTACTTCCCTTCTACGTGACTTTACCGAAAGAACCAAGAAGATAAATCCCTGCAGTCACGAAAGCTTTAAATCGAAATCAACTTACTTTGTTTCATCAAACCCTATTTGTTTCTGAACATTATACTTGTTTTTTTATGATTTAGAACCAAAGGGGTGCAGCAGCAAGGCTGCAGTAATGGTTAAGATCCGCTGTGCTTGTAGAAGCCCCGACCCTGACTAAAGAGAGTGACTGGCGGAAGGCTTGATGGATGGGTCAGAAACCCCTGGACGTACCTTCCAGATCGTCGATGGTCTTCTCCAGCTTCGCCACGGACCTCTCGGCAAACTCGGCACGGGTCTCAGCCTGGAAGGGAGCAAACGCACCAATCGTTTTCCAAGGGAAGTTTTCTTCGAAGCTTCTGGACAGCATCGCTCCTCCAATGTAAAAATAATTGGCAAGTGAATAAATCATGAGAGAACATCAGCCAGTGAATAAAAGGCGTCCGAGGAAAGGTCCACCAGGGTAGATGTACCCTTTTTACTATTTACAATTTTTATTTTACCAGGTGAGGCCTATTGAACTATTACTCTCTTTTTTAGAAGTGACCTGGTTATCACAAATGATAGCTCAGCGAAAAAGTGGCTTATCAAATCGCACGTTTCTAAAAACGGAGGATGTGGAGAAAAATCCACGCGACCACGGGAAGAGAGACACGCAAACTCCAACTATACAGGCATCAGGGTCGGAGTCGAACCCATGTCCTCCTGCGTACCCGGCGAGGTAGTTAACATCTCGCCACCGTGGCACCCCACGGAGCGATGGAATCGGCTCACATGCACGTGCTGGGTGGATCATTGCCTTGCGGAATCGAGAGAGAGTGAGCAGTGGCTTGACCATGGGCGATGACAACATGACTAAACATGCAAAAGTAAAGAGCTTTCCATCTATGGGCATAAAGAATTAATATCAATAATTTCTCAGAAGGACGTGTTTTAAATAGCCGCCTTGAACCGGTTTGGAGTAAGTTGGGAGCTGTAACATCGACTGGGCCAGCTTTGACTTGCCCGGGTAGGTTACCGCAAGTGAGCTAATGTCCGCAGCGAGTGCTGCTGCGCCGGTGAGCGTACGCGCAGGGGAAACGCAGAGCGCTGCCTCACCTCCTTCAGCTTGTCCGTGAGCACCTTGATCTCCTCCTCATACTTGTCCTCTTTTTGCGAGTACTGAGCACAAACAGAAGAAGGGGTGGGGCCCATCGGGCATCACGACAACATAACGCAACAAACCGTCAGACAAGACTTCTCCTTCATGTACCCGCCTGTCCACGTTAACATTTTTCGTCAAAAGGAATTCTTGCACAACCCATTGGCCGTAAGCCCTTGCTTTCTGGTACGTCTCCTTCACGTATATATATAAATCCGTCTCTCAACTTTGAAAAAAAATTGAGGATTTTTTGCACAACGCATCAGTCCTAAGGCCGTGCTTCTGGGAGTGCATAATTTCAGCGAGCTTTGATTTCAAGACAATTAAACTATGCAATGGTTTTCGACAGTGTTTCATCAGCAGAGACAGGCTTGCTTGAATCAACGCTGGTGAACTACCGATCTTTTAGGTAAGGGTTCCTCTCCCCTTACAATACGAGGTCCAAGTTAAGACGTTACTAAGATAGTTAAATTCCTCCTGCCAATCAGACTGAGGTGTGAAAACACAATTCTGCATCATCCAGAACCGGTGGCTTAAAGTGCTGGCGGCAAGGGTCTCCACGACAAGGAGCTCAAAAGACAGCCACTCTGCAGAGTTCTATTTTGGCCTACTCTGTCACGCTGGTCAGAGCCCTCTTGGAAAAGGATGCAACTACCCACATTTTACCCCGCCGATCGACTCTGTCGTATCCATTCATGCTGCTGCGTAGAGATGGGGGGGGGGATTCATGAAACTTGCTCCCATTGTTTCAACTTCTGCGCCGGGAGGTGGAATCGAATCGGCGACCTCTGGATCGCGAATCCAACGTGCTTGCCAGTTATACCACGGGAGTATCGCTTTTTTTTTATTGTTTCAAACCCTTTTAAACAAATGTTGATGACATCTTTACTAGGTCAGAGCATCCACTTCGGCTGTAAATGGTGCTTACGTAAATAGAGAGCATATGTATTCAGAAGAAAGATGTATGTAATTGGGCAGTGCTGCTGCTGATGCATCAGATTAGGCAGTGATGCCACAACAACTTGAGACAGAATGCCTCGATGAATTGTGTCACCGCTATTGGCCAATGCCCTCGCACCACTGAATACCTCAGGTGTTGCCGCATAACGATTGCAGTAACAGCTGAGGTCATGCACTGAGACCAGGGGTGGGGAAAGTTTGGCGGGTGGGTCAGATAGTGCCTGTGATGACATTTTAAATGGGCCGTGACAACACGAGGCCTAATACTTCTGAACGCCACGATACAGACAATCTTTACCCATCGCGATGGGAATCTTAGCAGCACTAGTCAGGCACTAGTCAGGTACCAGCGGTGAATACCTTGGTCCGTGTTGCTAATTTACGCATGGTCAAGACGCTCCTGTCACTGCAAGGACTTGCAGAGACACGCGCGTAATTCTTCACGCTATTCATTGCTCAACGCTTAAGGACTGTGTTGATGTGCATCCCACGATGGTAAAAAGGGGCAGCCCTGCAATTTCTCGCTGAAGTCACTGCGGGTGGAAGGGTCGTCTGCTAGAGGGCGCTCTAAAGAGCTTCTCGGCCCACAGAATAGATTTGGAAGTCCAATTCGGCGCTCGGTAAGCAAAATGTTCCCTTTACCCCAACTAACACCGTCGTTGATTCCCTTCAATGGCTGCAGATCCCATTGCCATAGTTGCTGGTCTACGCTGCCTCATGCTAGAGGAGTGCCTCTGAGGGACCCACACCTTATCGGACTGAGCCTCCAGAGACTTGAGGTTGTTGGAGACCGTTTTCAATTCTTCCTCCAGCTCGGAACATTTGCTGTTCGACCGCAGGTTGGGTGCGGCGAGGAAGAGGCACAAAGGGCCGAAGGAAAATGGGAGAGGAAAGGAAATAAACACAGCCAGGACAGAGCGGAAAAGAATCAAGTGTGAGAAGCAAGAAGTACGGACCGTAAAATTATTTTTATTTTAAACTGTTACGACAAATGTGTTTGTGTTGTCCTCACTTAAAGTTGAAAGTGGACGGAAGCAAAGTCGACATTTTACCGCAAGCGTAAAAGTATTTGAAAAACTTGTGATTAAAAATTGTTCACAGCGTGTTTACATTTTTTCAGCATGCACACACAAGTGGCCTAAGAACCTCTTGGTGGGTATGTTTTCTTTACGGCCGTTACGACAAGATACTGGTACGAAGAGCGTGGAGCGGCCACAATTACATTTTACCGCGTATAAGGTTATACCCGAGCAAGAACTTTGACAGTCATAAAAGCGGAGCGACAAAAAAATACCAAGCCAGAAAGTTGGAACTTGAAAAATAGAATGAAGCCATTGCATGCGCAAGGGTAATTGCACGGCTGCAGAGGGCGTGAGAGCCAGAACTGCCTGACGTCGTGTTAAGACAATTAATTTATTTACCTGTTCTTCCGACGCGAATAGGGACCTCAGTTCCTCCTGCACGTGCCTTAGTTCGTCTTCCATTTGCCGGACCCGGCTGATTGACGAACGATTGACAGGCAGCCAGGCGGGTTAAGCGTGCGACCAACACACACGCGTTAGTTAGTGAGCAGCGCGTCAAGCCATGCGGGTTAGTACACCGTTTGCACTGTTTAAAAATACATGGGGGCGCATCTGTCCTTCACGCCGCAAATTATTTACGAGGGTATTTTTAGACAGTCTTTTGTACACAGTGGGAATTTATTCAAGCGAATCCACCAACTGAAACAAAACAATGGATCGCCTGCAATCATTGCATGTAACATTCAATTTTAAACATTCCTAGATTAAAATATTGCCGTTTACTTGCTAATTATGTATTTATTGCCAAAAGTTTTACCCAGGAAAGCCTCGCCGAGTCTCAAGATACTTTCTTCAGGAGCGTACTGTGCAATGAGAGGAGTTGGCCAATCCCACAAGGGGTAGACAATGAAAACGAGCATCTCCTGTCTAGCCCCACGTCTAAAATACCTGGCAAGACCTCGTGGTGGTTCACCGATCCAAATACTGAATCAGGCTCAACTCGCCGCGGTGGCGAAATGTTAACTACCTCGCCTGGTATACAGGAGGTTGTCGGTTCGATCCCGACCCTGACGCCTGCATATTTAGAGTTTGCATGTTATCCCCAGGGTCGCGTGGATTTTACTCAGCGTCCTCTGGTTTTTCCATCCACATATGGAATCGGCATGCATTTAGAGTATTTGGCTGCTATAAATTACCACCTAATTAGCCACTTCATTGAACTATCATTTGTGGCCAGGTGCTTCTGAAAAAGAGCTTTATAGTTCAGTGGTGTTTTTAGTTTAGTTTAAGTTTTTAGTTTAGTTTAAGTTTCCAACATGTAATGAGATCTGGTATATCTCGGGTTATTTGGTCAAAGGCATCCAAAAAACCTGATCTCAACAGGGCTCTTACCTGGTTATAAAGGTCAGATATTTATCTATTTTAGGCACGAGCCAAAAATGTAGAAGAGCATACAAACTACACGGTACAAGCCATCCAACAATACTTAAGGGTGTTATAACACATGCTTCGGTAGCCGTTGCCAACGCGTCCCGTGGCCGTGCGCGCATTCAACGCGAGGAATAGAAGGCGGCGGGTGCCGCCGACAATCGCTGCGCGCTCGCCCGTGCCGCACGCGGCCGCCGTGATGTCCCGCGGGCCGCACTCACGTTTCTGAGATCTCCGCGCGCTCCTCTGTGCGCTCCAGCTCCCCCTCGATGATGACCAGCTTACGGGCGACCTAGAGTACGTGAAGGGCAACGCGCACGCAACCACCAGCGACGTTACAGCCAGGGCTGTGTTTCTTTGCGAAATTGAAACCTCATTTTTTTAGAAGTGTTTTTTGTGTTCAGTTTGTTGTTCCTGCCCCCGCACATCCGGTTAGGCACGGTTGCCTATGTACGGTGCAAAACAATTTCAACATAGAGTCGAACCCCTCTTAACGACGGTAAATGGTTCCACAAAACCGGTCGATAAGTGATTTGGTCGTTAAGCAAGTATAGAAAATACGTACTCTTTGGTTCTTTCTACGTTATAAATAACTAACTACGTGACGTTACCGAAAGAACCAAAGAGTATGGATTCCTGCAGTCACGAAAGCTTCAAATCAAGATCGGAAATACACGTTACAGGTTTAATTCGTTCCAATAGCATCGAAAGTTACCCTTTTTCATCCAATGAACGTACTTTAAAGATACTAAGAAAATTCTAAACACATAATATTAAAAGAAACATGGTTAATCAATGCATTTATTAATATGTACTCTATCTACAACAGCCCGCCGTTAACAAGGGAATGGTCAGTAAGAAACACACTGGGCTTTTCGGAAGCCCGTCTGTAAGCCATTAGTTGTTAACAGCGGTGGTCATTAAGAGGAATTCTACCGTACACACATAACATAACCGATTGCGGGTTTTCTATCTGGATAATCTGCCCATGGGTAATTAACTTTGCGGATTACCACGTCAACATTGGGGTGGTATAAGTATTATTATTATCCTGTGTTGATGATGTCATAAATGTGAAGTTCTGCAACAGAATGACTTTTAGTTTTTTGTCGAATGTACGGCTGCAATTGTGTTGTGCTCTGCATACGAAACGAATTGCGTATACGGACTTGAAATTTTTCTGGACGTGTGTCTAATGCTTTTAAAACGAACTCGGCCTACTCCGAGTAATTATGCATGACAACTTTAAGAGGCTAATGTATCATCATTATCCGTGTGAAAATAATACAGAGGTTTTTTTTTCTCCCCGACAACCCCTTTTTGTAATGAGCGCAATAATGACCGTCTTAACGTGGGCCATTTAACGAGGGTCACTGAAGGAGAAAGGTTGCAGCGTTTGTATTTGCATGAAAATCTAATTTTGGACAGTTCAGACATGAATACAAATATTTAAATTGCCATAAAAATACAAATCGTCGTACTTACCCTTTTTAATCTAAATATACCCTCATACCACATCATTGATGGGCCGATAAAAGTAATTATTATAATCCTGTGCTCATATTCTTTTTCATTAACATAAATTTCAATAATGGAATGACTTTTGTCGCTTGTGAATGAATGGCTTTAATGGTTGCATTGTATCGTACTAAATTGCAACTTATCTTTAAATACCACATTAATTATGGCAGCGCCACAAAGTATCATCACCACCACCACCCGGCACTCACGACAATGTTTGAGTAATTCTATGAATGAGTGACTTTCGTTGCGGTCACATCAACATCTTGAATGGATTTAAAGCTTTCGTGACTGCAGGGATTCATCTTCTTGGTTCTTTCGGTAAAGTCACGTAGGAGGGAAATAATAAAATAATAAAAATAAAACATTATAAAATACAATTCTCACGACGTTTCGCCCACAACGCAAGCAGCTGTCCTCAGGTGAAGAACAGGTCTGTCGGAAAGACAGCGTCTGAACGCTGTCTTTCCAACAGACCAAGAAGATCTTGAATGGAGTTAGTCTTGAAGTGAGCGAGTGAGCGAGCCACACCAAGTCGGCAAGCGGACTCACCTCCTCGTACTTGCGATCAGCCTCCTCAGCGATGTGCTTGGCCTCTTTGAGCTGAATCTCCTGAAGTTCCATCTTCTCCTCATCCTTACCAGCCCGGTTCTCAATCACCTTCATGCCTCTGTGGAAACACAAGTCAGGAACCGCATTCATATTATTGATTAATTATTGTTATTACACTGGTCAACAAAAAAAAAACATTTTTTTCTGGCCTGGACTTTTGCAGCTGCTTTAGACTAATTTCAGGGTGCCGATTCCAAATTATTTTGATATTGGAGGCTTCAACGTCACGATGTCGTCCAGACTTTGCAGCAAACTTTCCTTGAAAACTATTCACGCATTTGAAGCTAACGATCGAGCCCAGCGGACCGCATTCTTCAAGAACAAATGAATCTCGGTCACTTGCCACACCGATAACCCCGGGGAGTTTTACCCCCCCTTTGACTCGACGTTGGGGGTCGGTGTTCGCCTGCCAAAGTGCGGCCCAATCGGCGACTTGGCGCAATTCACCATCCCGCGTGTTAATGGTGACTGAACACAGGACAAGTGCATCGATGCCCGTTGTATATTGATGAATGTATTACTAACAATCAACCTTTCTGAAGACAATTATCAATTATGCAATTCAGTTTAACAGCTCAAAAGACCACAATGTTGATGAAAAAAAAGTTTGGTCACGTGCCCAATGGCAATATTGATTATTTTTTTTCTTTCTAGGCTTATATTAATGCTTTTAAAATGCATTTTTCATTTTGCTAGTGATGAATGAACCACTTTAAAGGTGAGTGTATTACAATCCATGTGAGAATGATACACTGCAACATCGTTTTTGACCCAACTGCTTTTAACAAGTGCAATAACCACTGGTCTAACCACATTTTTCAACCTGAGGGTCATTTAAGGGAAAAAGATAACGCATTTCCATTTTCATACAAACGCAATATTTGTACCACTTAGTAATAAGTCCACAGATTCGAATTTGCATACACATACAAATCTCTCGACTTTTGTGTTCCCCCACCCACAATGTTACCCTGATTGTGTGATCTGCATCCCATTCACGAGATAAAGAGTTTGCAGCAGCAACAACAACAAACTCCCCAATATATTCTTGGTTGTGTTGCTTGTGTCGCAGTCGAAATGTCGTGAGAATTTTTTTTTGTTTTATATTTTTAATATTTTATTATTTCCCTTCTACGCGACTTTATCGAAAGAACCAAGAATATGAATCCCTGCAGTCACGAAAAGCTTTAAATCAAAATGTAAACTCCCCAATGTAATGTAAACTGGGCGAGTGTCTGGATTGGAACTCGGCGGTTCTCAGGGGAACTTGCTCAAGTACCCTGGCCTCTCAACTGCCTGGCCAGCTCAAAAAAAAACTTCTTGTCTCTGAAGCGACGTCTCATGTTCTAAGTGGCTTTTTTTACACGCACCAATCCACCGCAGCTATTCGTTTAACGACGGGTTACACCTCTAACGTGAGCAATTGTTCCTGCAAGGGTCAAGTGGAGGAATCCTAACATTGTGTCTCACCTGTAAGCACCGCTTAAAAATTGCCAACATCAATGCTAACCTGCAGAGTACATGCCTTCCAGAGGAAACAAAACATTACATTTCGATTTAAAGCTTTCGTGACTGCAGGGATTCATCTTCTTGGTTCTTTCGGTAAAGTCACGTAGAAGGGAAGTAATAAAATAATAAAAATAAAACATAATCAAACATAATAAAATATTATGTTTTATTTTTATTATTTTATTATTTCCCTTCTACGTGACTTTACCGAAAGAACCAAGAAGAAAAAAACATTACATGTAAAGCCCTTTGATCAATACATCATATGGGTCTTGGGGGTTATTTGGTCATACTTCACCACACTCGTCAGTGCGGCATGGCGAGGAGAAATTACTTGAGAGAACAGCAGTACAATACAACAACGGGCTTCGCTGCACTATCCTCTGCTGCCCATGACACAGCCGGCGGGAGCCTATAACAACGTTGTTGTGCAAAGCGGTCTCTAATCCAGCCACCATCTGGGCTCTACCCTGCTCTGCTTCCATGGTGTGACGAGATCGGGCGGGTGCATTCCGTGTGCTTCGGTTATAGGCAGCGTAAAATAAATACCGTACAGAACATACCATCTTCTTGGTTTTTTTCGGTAAAGTCACGTAGAGGGGAAGTAATAAAATAATAAAAATAAAACATAATAAAATAATTCTCACGACGTTTCGGCTACAACGCAAGCAGCCGTCTTCAGGTGAAGAATGAGACACTGCCAAGCTAGGAGCTTATATATAAGCTGAGTTGGAGGTGGAAGAAGAGCGCCTTAACAAAAGAATGTGCATATCAAGAGGAATTTAGCATATTCATGGAAAATGCGTAGGAGGTGGGCGGGGGGGGTTTCAAAGTCATATTATGCCCATACCATCACACAAACGATACATCGTGTAACCCGTGCCGGTTTGTTCGCCATGGAAATTATTCGTGTTCAACTTTTTAAAACAAGTCTTCTTTTTCTTCTTTCGTACGGCTGCTGATGTAGTCGATGCAGACCAACAACTACAATTTCACATTCGGGGTGGTCAAGCCAGATAACCGCGTCAGGAGCACCGGACTGTATCTGCTGCGATGTCTTCTTCGTATTTGTGGACCGGACGTCTCTGTTCTGGATGATCACAGTCGCATACTACTACTGGAGATTTTAAATTTTCCGTTTGTGCATCAGGTATCTGCATCTGCTGCCATGGTTTGTGCAGTGAATGGGATTCAGGGTGGACCATGAGCAGCTTCGTGGAAGATCAAACCCAGGCATCTTCTGCGTTGGGTCTTTCGCAAGGTGTTTGTTTGCGAGTTCTTTTGAACTCCATTCAGCTCTCTAAGTGGATCTTCAAGTAAATGGCATGTATTGCTTCTCTGCTGTAACAAGGCCTAACAACAGCAGGAGGGAGAAGGCGATACATCTGTAGCAGGTCCCTGAAGATCAGTAGCCCCCCCCCCCCCACCATTGCAAAAAATATATTTTTTGTATTTACATAACGGGAGCCCACCTGAGCCAGCATATTAGGTTCAGGCAGATCGGGGGCCAAGTACGTTTGTAGTCGTGCAATTCGTTATGAATTGCAATCACAGTGTGATTGTAAAGGTAATTTTGGTTAACGTTGCTTTTGTAATTGTAATTTTAATTGATCCTGGGTGTGCGTACTACGGGCCCCACATCGCTGTCGATGCCCCCCGGCCATGACCAAGTGCCTGAATCACAAAGGGGTGCGGTGGTGGCGTCATGCAGCAAACACGTTGTGATCACCATGCCTCAAAAACCTGCTCGGGAGCGACCTGCAGCCTGCGTTCATTAAATAACCGCCTTTCGCTACGTGGAAAAGGCACAACAAGGCTGCCTTCACAACTTTCAGAGAAACCAAACCATGTTTGGTATTCTTTTTTTTAAATGTAAGGCTTGTAAAATTAATGAAGCCCAACAGATAATTGATTTTTTACCCTTCTATCTGGCAACAAAACGGACACATTTTTACAAGGAGTCATGTTTGCATAGACCGCAATACCTGCAGTCATAATACAAACAAAAGACATAATTCTGATAATGTGCACTGTCCTTGAAGTTGATTGGTCCACACCCGAGACAGCTTTCCTTAGAGCCCTAGTCTCACATGGGTTGGACCAGATGACGCCAAAAGGCGCACAACTCAAAGACAATGCACCATCAGAGTATGAGAGCTCGGGGCAAGCATCTACACTATGGGAACCTGTTGGACTTCACTATGGCAAATGAGGTTCCCATAGTGAAGCCCAACAGGTTAACTGGCTGGGTGGATGTAATCTGCTGCACTGCCTTATTGCTTACAATGTATCCCCACAGCAATCTACAACACCTGCGTCTTGTACGATGGTGACCCATCCAAGTAATATCCAGGCTCAACCAACCCTTGCTTTGTTTTTGAGATATGATCGAAATGGCAGCATTGCAGGTGATTTGGCCATGTGCAGGGTTTAACAGCAAGCAATGTGGTTGCTCGTGGTCACTAAATAGAAACTAAACTAATAACTAAACTATTTTTTCTTTTTCCAGGTGAGACCCACTGGAGCTATTATTTCGCTCTTTTTCAGAAGCAACTTAGCCACAAATGATAGCTGAAGTGGCTTATCATGTGAAAATGTATAACAGCTCGAAATGCATGTTGATTCTAAATGTGGTGGAAAGAAATCGGGAGGACCCGGAGAAAAATCCACACGACCACGAGGAGAACATGAAAACTAAAAATATACAGCAGGTGTCAAGGGTCGAGATCAAACCCACATCCTCCTGTACACCAGGCGACGTAGCTAACATCTCTCCACAGCGGCACCCACAGCAGCAACAAAATATCCACAAGGAGACAGACGGTTGGTTCTCACCTTTCGCTCTCGTCGGCCGCCTTCTCGGCATCCTCCAGCTTCTGCAGGGCGGTGGTGAGACGCTCTTGCGCTCTGTCCAGCTCCTCCTCAACCAGCTGGATGCGCCTGTTCAGCGACGCCACATCAGCCTCGGCCTGCGGAACAAAAACGATCGTCGTTGGTCGGAGCGACAAGACTCGCAACGACGAGAGAGATTTCGATGTAAAGCTTTCGTGACTGCAGGGAGATTCATCTTCTTGGTTCTTTCGGTAAAGTCATGTGGAAGGGAAATAATAAAATAATAAAAATAAAACATTATAAAATAATTCTCACGACGTTTCGGCCGGCTGCTTGCGTTGTGGCCGAAACGTCGTGAGCATTATTTTATCATGTTTTATTTTTATTATTTCCCTTCTATGTGACTTCACCAAAAGAACCAAGAAAACGAGAGAGATGGTCGAGCACAAATTCCAGTTAAGATGTCAATTTATCCCAGGGCCATAGCCGACTTTGTTTGAAATGAGCCAGTCACATGAGGCATCATCACGATCCAGGGGCAGATCACCCGTTGGTGTCCACTGCACGTTTCGTCTTTTGCTAATATATGCTCAAGTCGTGGCACATCTTTCTGGCACCAACCTCTTATGTCATCGTAAAGACAATCTCCATGAGGTCTTCCTCGCTTGCCGGTTCCTTCCATTTTTACCCGAACACACTTTTAATCTTCCTGTTGTTGATAATTGTTTTTTTACCCTTCTATCTGGCAACAAAACTGACACCTTTTTACAAGGAGTCATGTTTGCATAGACCACAATACCTGCAGTCATAATGCAAACAAAAAACATAACTCTGATAATGTGCACTGTCCTATCAGAGTTATGTATTTTGTTTGCATTATGACTGCAGGTATTGTGGTCTATGCAAACATGACTCTTTGTAAAAAGTTATGTTGCCAGATACAAGGGTAAAAAAAAACAATTATCATATTTTTACTGGCAAATGAGGTTCCCATGGTGCTTCCTGTTGTTGTCCATCCTACATGTGTCCATACAGTGCCAGTTTCCTTCTCATCACTGCCTGCATCTTCTTCCATGTACAACCATGAGGCATAGCACTTTGAATGATCCTCATCTTTCACTGCGTGCATCTTAGCCACACTAATTGGGTACGAATGGGGAATATAATTGCGACAATTCATTGTGGCAATTCATTGAATTGTGTAACGTTGGGAGAGCCAGGGGATGTAAAATAAATAATCACACAACTCATACTGATGAATTCGCACATGGCAAGACAACCGAATACATGTTAGGGTGTTAAGATGTAAAATGTTTTATTGCCAGAAAGAGTAAAAACCTTTTCTTATATTTTGATACTGGCAAGTGAGATCCCATGCAGTATTTGTGACCGCGCGATTGTAAGCTCGCAAACTGCGTGATGTGAAGTATATACTGTATATTTCATTCACATTGGCATCCACGATGAACATCGTTCAGTGAGACTGAAGGGTAAAGAAAAATCAACTACCCACACAGTAGGGGAGACACAATACAAGTCAACATATTAACTAACAAAATAAGCTAACCTTGTTTGTCTAAATACCCCTAATACATACTACTAATAATTCCTCTGCCAGGTTGTTACCTGCTTCCACAGGCAAGTGTGGCGATTAGTGCAAACCTCAGCCCCCCCCTCACCCCCCATGCTTTACACAAAAGTGTGTGTGAAGCAACGTCATCATTCTCTGTCTTCTAAAAATCACACCACGCTTTAAAGCTTTCGTGACTGCAGGGATTCATCTTCTTGGTTCTTTCGGTAAAGTCACGTAGAAGGGAAGTAATACAATTATAAAAATAAAACATAATAAAATAATTCTCACGACGTTTCGGCCACAACGCAAGCAGCCGTCCTCAGGTGAAAACCAGACGCTGTTTCCCCGACAGACCTGGTCTTCACCTGAGGACGGCTGCTTGCGTTGTGGCCGAAACGTCGTGAGAATTATTTTATTATGTTTTATTTTTATTATTTTATTACTTCCCTTCTACGTGACTTTACCGAAAGAACCAAGAAGATCACACCACGCATTATTAAAAAAAATAACCATACTTAAAGTAAATTACTGAACATAACCACGGGTATCGTATTCCTCCTCTTCTGATTGTGCACGTAATGCCTAAATCTAAAGCCACTGTTAAAATAATTCCTCTCCCATGCCATGTCGGCCGTAAGGGTTCTTTGAATATAAACGGTGCTGGACTTTAAACACTGGTGTGGGTAATTGGTGCTGGGGGGGGAGGTTTAGATGCAGACCTAAAATTACACAATGGATCTTGCTGTTCTGCACTATGCTGCCTACATACAACGCAGTCTATCTAGGCCAGGGGTCGGCAACCAAAATAACAAGAAGAGCCATTTCTTTCCAATTCGGTACAAAATTCAGTATTTCAAGAGCCGCAATGCATCTGAGTACATACGTACTCATCGTCAAGAAGCAGCCCGTAAAGAGCCGCATGCGGCTCCAGAGCCGTAGGTTGCCGACCCCTGAGCTAGGCTCAACGCTGCTCCGCTTCTGAGAAAGGGCACATTCTGGGTGATACGGCCAAAGGCCAAGGTACTGTCACCATTACATGGCACTGTAGGAAATTATCAGCAAATAAATCAGTACGTTACTCAAAGTGTCAGAAAGCCTAGTCACCAATAACCATAAATTTTACTCTGAAGTGTGAGGTCAAAACTATGCCATTATCCGCACCGCATTCTTTCGACACCAATCACTTACTGAAACAAAACCCAACAACATCTGCTGTATCATGAGGCCTCCTTTGCCAGAAGCAAAATATACTAATAGGGCTTTTCCCCTTTTTTTTCTGGCAACAAAACTGACACCTTTTGCAAGGAATCATGACAACATTAACCGCAATACTTGCAGTCAAATGCAGACAAAAAACAATACTCTGATAATTTATGCATTGTCCTTGAAACTGATTGGTCCACACCAGAGACAGCTTTGCTTAGAGCCTAGTCTCATATTGTGTTCGACCAGATGACGCCAAAAAGGTGTCAGTTTTGTTGCCAGAAAAAAGGGGAAAACCCCTATTAGTATTAACATCTGCTTTGCCACAAAGCCAATGACTCAGAAATGCAATTAAGCCTTGTGAACATGCAATAACCGAAGTGCCAGTGTGTGTGTGGAATGAAAACAATGTTCAACTGGAGAGATGCATGCCAAGTCTATCTTGTGAAATTAAAGGCTCATCGGCAGATGCACTGGAGTGAATTATTACACTGAACTGACAGCGTGAGACAGAGAGGAAGACCACATTTTTTGGCACGAAGTTTTGAAAGTGCATTTTTGACATCTTTGTCAAAAACTAAATGTTAGCCCACCCTCCTCATCTCTGAAATGTAACCAACAATACTTGCAATACAGGTATTGCTGCCGTCTACAGCAACTTCCTTAAGGGAAATGCTGCCAAAGCCAGCACGGTTGGCTACGTACGGTGCGATAGAAGTTCGACACGCACAGACACGAAGAACCGAGTTATGGAGCCCTTTGTTAATAAACGCACGGCGCAATGTTTGAAATACTGCGAAACGTAAACAAAGAGTCCCTTTAAAAAAGCGGTGGCGTTTATTTGAAATTTACACCACTGGTGGTAAAGAGTTATCGGTAAATCGCAAAATTGCAGCGTCTTTTGTGGGTTTTTTTTATTTGCAGCATCTGCTTGTGACAAATCGCCTGGAATGCACCCGATCTGGTCGCACCTCGGCGTTTGAAGGGTTGAGTATTCGGATAGGCGACCACCACACCTCACACACAAGTGATTTCGGGCAGCAGGGGGCAGTGGGGTAAAATCAATTGTGCTAGATTTGAAGCTTTCGTGACTGCAATGATTCATATTCTTAGGTTTTTTCGGTAAAGTCACGTAGGTAAAAACATAAAAAAGTAAAATAAAATAAAAAATAAAAATACATTTTTTATTTTATTTTTTATTTTACTTTTTCATGTTTTTACCTACGTAAAATAAAATAAAAATTTTTTTTTTTTTTTACTTTTTAATGTTTTTACCTACGTGACTTTACCGAAAAAACCTAAGAATATCAATTGTGCTGTAATTTTGGCCACATCTATGAGCCTCCTCATATTCAAACTCCCACTGACCACGACCTGCATCGTATGGGGGGGCTCATCTAGCAGTGGATTGACAAAAGGACTTTACACGTACAATATGCAGCATCTACGTTAGGCCATGCTGTTGCACCTTGATGCTATAAAGCAGACATCGTCTTATTACAGTATCTACCGCAGCTAAAAATGGTCTTACTCGTAGAATAATCAAATTGGTGTCAAAAGTTAAATCCTGGTCATGTATTGACCCTTCAGCCGTTTTGTTAATCGATAGCTGGATGAAGGCCTCCCCATGCAGTATAGAATACAGTAGAAATGAAGATGTATATACAATAGTAAAATTAAGCATTTAAAACCTCGGCTATTGCAACTAATAAAAGTAGTTTTTGTTGTATTGTATTTTTTCATTGAATTTGTTAAATTCGCAACAAGGAAAAACGATGTTCATTTCCTTAGAATTAGAGTTAGACCTTTAAGAAATAGCAGGAATAGCCTACAGGAAAAAAATAATCTAAATTCAATAAATAATGCCAAATACAGAGGCCCGGGCCTAGAAGCCTGCGTTGCCACGCCGCTCTCCTAGAAGCCTCTACCGCTTGGGGCGCGCCACACCCGGCAGGGCTGCAGATTGGCTGCAGGGGTGTGCGCTGGTCCCATCACGGACCCTTAACGTGGCATAGGTGACGTACACACCTCCTAATTGCAGTGGCGTGCACCAAATTAGACTGCCAACTTTATTGTTTAGTGTTAATTACATGTTGTCCACCAAGTTGAAAATTATAGCGTTTGGAAATTAGTATAAGTCCCACTTCGTGTGGTGACACAATGCCAGGAGGATTTCAGTTCAGTATATTAGGACGGGTTCAGTGGTTACTTTAAGATGCAATTAACCTTTACAATCTACCGCTTCACGGTGACAAATAATACCAATCGCGTCGTAATGTCACAAAGTGAGGTCAATTTACTGCAGAAAGGGGGATCAGGTAACGAGCAAATGGCCACTGGATGTACTCTCCCTCGCCACAG